TGGGTCATCCTATGTCAAGTATTCCCTTATGTTTCATTCTTGTTATATCATGACGACCCTTCCGGCCCATTTACCCATGATGGTATGATAAGAAAGATATTTTACATTGGTACTCGGTTGAGTAAGTCACCGAGTGCCCGTCGCGGCCCTCCGATTCGGGTTGTGACATTACTATCTTGTTATTTTTATTCCGCTTTTATATGACTTTTTGGTACTGTCCCTTCGTGTCTATATTTTTATTAATGTGGTGCTTATGCTTTGCTGAGCCGAGGATCTATTGGAAACAGCCTCTCTATCCTCACAAGGTAGGCGTAACGTTTGCGTATACACTATCCTCTCCAGCCCCACAGTGTGGGATAATACTGGGTATTTTATTGTTGTTGCAATTGATCATATTAGGGTTTCATATTGAAAAATCGTTTTATTATAATTGAATTAATTAACTCTATACTCGGTATAAATTTTTGAGAATAAGTATATGGTTCTATTTGTACTTAACAAATTATTATCACACACCAAATAATCACGCCGTGAAACATGATAATATGATGTATAGATGAAAATTGAGTTGATAGCCAATATAGTTGGTGATATTCTATTTCCATGTAAATATATGAAGATCATGAAGAAGGACCAATTTAATTTAGATAAGTCATTTAATAAATTAAATAAAACCAACAAAGACAAACAAAAAAAAAATTAGAATAAAAGCTCGATTCTTTTTACTAAAATTGAGGTTAAATGTTGAAACCTTCAAAAAGAAGGAATCTCTGTATAATTATTCAAAAGATTGACATGTTTTTAAGTAATCACTTCCCAAAAAATCACTGTTTTGAAAACCTATTTAATGTGTAAGCAATTAAGGCATACGAGTAAACCAAATCTAGAAATAGTAATAAAATCACAAACTAGTTAACATCCTTTCTTAGAAACCTATAGACCTATGAAAAATGAGTTTGAATGTAAAATTAGTGCAGAAAAAGGAAGCAAATTAAAAGTCATGTTAACCATTTGATTACAAAATAATTTAACTACAATAACGGGTAAGAAATCTCATTACGCTTATTCTTAGATGATTATTAATCAATGAGTTGATTTTAGAAAGTTGATATCTTTTCAAATTCCATACGATATTATAAGATTTTCCTTCTATTCATATTTTTGGAGAATCAATGTTATTTGAAGATACATACAAAACTTCGTAAAGACCAACAATTTTGAAAATAACGTTAATAAATTCATGTTTTTATTATTTGTTGCTGGCTTCATTGTGATAAAAACAAAATATCATTTAGAATTTTATTATATTTTGGAGATGATGATTTCTTTAAGTTGAAGCATTCAGTCAAAATTCTTCCTAGCACAAAAAATTAAGAATATTATGTGCCTTGACATGCATCCAATTAAAGGAAGAGGAATCCAATATTAGATAATAATTTAAAAAGAATAAATATCACTTTTCCGAGAGGACCAACATAACCTTCTATGTAGGTCACTAAACATAACAAAAGGTAAGGATAGAAAGTTTTAAACATTTTTCATATCACAAGGGTAAAAGTTTCCCTTAGTTAAGAGAATTGTAAGAATTTATATATAATACAAAAATTATGTTTTATTATATTTATACAATATTATTTCCGATGAAGGAGTTTTAATTCAATTAACCCCTTCATGAAAGGTCTGCTATTTGTACATCATGCCCTTTTATTATATTGAATTTAAAAAAATGACTTTCTTAGATCTCTTATACGTAAAAGACAGATCTACTATGCTCCTATAGTGGTTAAATATTGTTCCAATTCGTAATAATATTGTTTGAATGCTCAGGAATATTGAAACACAGAATTAAATTACCTTCTTTTAAAATATATAATAATTAAAATTTATTGGAAATACAAAAAAACATTAATTAAGTTAACATATTTGATCATTAAAATTTAAAGTTGAAATATTATGTCCAATTCCAATAAATAAGAGAAGGCAAATGATAAAGATACACAAAGGTAGAAAGGGAGATAAAATGAAGAGAAAAAAAAAAAAACCGGCCGAAATTCATGACAAAAGAAAAGCTGAAAAAGAGCGGGGGTATTGTCACGTGTGGACGTAATAATAGTAAATATTGCATGGGGCGTCTTATTTGGTCGCCCCATTTAATTTATATTTATTTTTTTTAAAACTTTTAACTTCTACGCACTTTTTAAATAACATCAGCCACATTTCTCCTCCTCCTTCTCTTTCTTCATTTTCTTCTTTTCTTCTTCTTCTTCTTTCTTCTGCTATTATTTTTTATCTAGTCTACTAATCTAGATAGAAAATCATCTTACAGTGGTTCTCAGGTCAAGATACTGGCAAATTTTTTAGCATTAAGAGCTTCTTGTACTCTTGGATCATTTGCCCAGTAAGTAGATAACCTGTGCACCTCAACCTACAATTATGGACATAGGTTAAATCATTTAAAGAACACAAAACAAATTATATTTCGTTCATCAATTATTTTATTTGTCTATTTTTTCAAAACAATAACATAGAAATAGCATATATAGGTTTGAAATTTGACCAAACAATAAAAAAACATAGGTTTGAATGGACGTACACGGCACTTAGTGGAATAATTTTCATCAAGAGATCTTCTTTTTCCAGATAATCGAAATGACCTTTTAGATTTTGCATCTGAACCACACGAGGGCTCTAGGATGTGTGGCTTATTGAAATTTTCCAATTACAAAAACAAAAACTTCAGCTCTACAGCTGAAGTTTTCCGGTTACAAAGACAAAAACTTTAGCTCTAGAGCTGAAGTTTTCCGGTTACAAAACAACAACTTCAGCTCTAAAGCTGAAGTTCGCCAGTTATAAAATAAAATCTTCAGCTCTAGTATATAATATTAATATTTGTAAAAAAAACTTTAGCTCTGGGGCAGAAAAATACAAAGCTCAAAACCCCAAAAGTGTGAAAGGCTCAAGCAGAAGAATAAGGAGAAAAAAAAAGAGAAATGTCTACTTCTACTACGTAGCTTCTTCATTTGCTTTTTCGTAAAAGGACGAAAGCAATTTTCAGTAATACATTCAGAAACTCAGTAGTCGAATCTATCCATATATTCTCAACTGATCAATGCTCTCTAGGTACATAGAGTCTCGAGAAAAGGCCTACTTAAGATTTAAATTAAGTATTTTTACTTAAATAGTATGTAATATTAATAGGTGGTAAAAAAACAGTTTCCCATTTACAACACAAAAACTTCAGCTTTAAAGCTGAAGTTTTTGTGTTGTAACTGGAAACTCCACCTCTAGTATGTAATATTAATAGGTGGTAAAAAAACTTCAGCTCTAGTATGTAATATTAATAGGTGGTAAAAAAACTTCAGCTCTAGAGCTAAAGTTTCCAGTTACAACACAAAAACTGAGCTGAACTTCAGGCCTGGATACTAAAATGCTAAAGTTTTACGTGATTGCCTTTGCTACTTCAGCCCCGTATGCTAAAGTTATGCGAAAAAGCGGGTATGCTTGCAATTTATTTTGCAAAGCGGGCATAAATTAAAATGTGACACAAAAAACGGATATAGATACAAATGTCCCGTAATAATATTGGTCGGCAGATCTCAACTTAATTAACAAGCCATCTTAATTATCGCCCCCAATTTACCAAATCATTCCTCCAACAAAATTCAAAAAATAATTTTTTAAAAAAGAAAAAATGTGAAGGAGAAATAAATACTATGCCATGTGTATTGACACATCACCGTGGATTTAAAGAAATACGAGGACTCTATTGAGTGGAAAACACGCAAAGTAGCCCTTTTTTACCTGTCTACGTGGCGTCAGAGCTGGACATCCGAACCATCCAAAATGAGTCTTTCTCGATCCAAACGTCATTGTTCCTTGTTTTCTTTAAGTGGGCGTTTGGATATAAGAATTGTAAAATTACAAAAAAAAAAAAAAAAAAAAAAAAAAAGTAAATTTTTAAGTAGAAATGATATTTAAAAATTAATGTGTTTACTTGAATATAATTTAGGTTATTTTGGAAGTTTGTGAGTGATCTGAGTAGTAAAAATTTTAAAAACTAAGTTTTTGGTAGTTTCTACTAAATTTTACGAAAATTCTACCTAAAATTAACTCTTACAAGTAGAAAATCGCCTAAATTTTATAGGACCAAACACTAATTTTGAAAAAAAATAAAAAGTTTTCGAAAAAAAGTGAAAATTTTTTTATGTCCAAACGGACTCTAAATATTTTTTTTTCCGGGCTCGAACTTATGTTAAAGTAAAATTGAATTAATTTTGTTAGTTCCTTTTGAAAACCTTTACTGTTGATAGAAAATGCGAAAAGAAAATCTTTAATTGAAAATGCAAATTTGTTTTGTACATATTCTAATTGAAAGGGAAAAAGAAGATGATATTTCACTGGAGAATACCCCGACAAAGATTAATAAATTAGGCAAATGATACTTTTTTTTCTTGGTCGAAATTATAACTTTTATTTCAACCTTTTTTGCAAAGTTACATCATCTGCTCTCTATGGACTCTCGAGCAAATCTCAAAACAAAACAAATCATAAACAACTTATACAACTCTTCTGTTGCTATCTATTACAACATATAGACTATCCTATACACAACTAGGATAGCTGTTTAATCTTTCCAGTAATGGTCTCCACTTTGGTTTCATTTGTCCAGTTACTTGAATTTGGACAGCAATTTCTTTTGCTCTGTCTTGTATTGCCTTCTTGCATTGTTGAAATCTTCTGTTGTTTCTTTCCATCCATATATTATACACCATAGCAGCAAACACAATTCATAGTAAAGCTCTCTTTGGATTTCTATTACTCACATTCTTGATTAGCCAATTCACTTCTTCTTCCCAGTCTTCAATTCTTCAGTGATAATCCATCCATGTTAACATACTTTTCCACAATTTCGTTGAATATGAACACTCAAAGAATAAGTGTTCATGTGTTTCGATCACATCTCTTTCACACAGGACACATCCCTGTTCTACATAAATTCCTCACTTTATCAATCTGTCCACTGTTGCCATTCTTTTATGCATTGCCATCCACATTATGAATTGTTGCTTTGGCAGACTACCATTAATCATTGTTACAGATTTCCACCTTACTTTAGGCCATTCTGGAGAGCTTTGTATGTATGATGTTTTGATATTGAACTTCCCATTCTTCATGCACGACTGCATTCTTTGCATATCATTTGCCCACCATTCCCTTGCATTGAAGATTTTCCTTACAAGCCAACTAGCTTGTTTAGGTACTTCCATACTTGTTATATCTTTCCTCTTTATGTATTGACCATGTATCCATTTTATCCAGAGTTTGTCCTTCTTGTTCACTACTGCCCATAACAACTTTGTTATTGCTGCCTTATTCCATCTTTCATAGTTGATTATGTTTAGTCCCCCTGCTACTTTTGGCTTACACAAAGTGTCCCAAGATATAGGATTCCTCTGAGAATTCTCATTGCTTCCAGTCCACAAATACCTCCTGCATATGCCATTCACCATTTTTACAATCTCCTTAGGGATGAGGAACACTTGAGCCCAATAAGTTTGCATTTCAAACAACACACTCTTAATAAGTTGTAATTTGCCTGCATATAAAAGAAATTTGGAGGTCCAGCTTCTAATTCTATCCACAATTCTTTCCACCAGGGGCATACATTGTTGTATACTGATCTTTTTTGAAGCCAAAGGTATTCCCAAATATTTGAATGCTAAGCTCCCTTCTGATAGTTGCAATTCAGTTAACATTTTGTCTTTGAATTCCCTTTTAACTCCTGCTATATATAATGAACTTTTGTCCATATTAGCATGCAACCTAGATACTTCAGAAAACTGTTTAAAACATCTCATCAACATCTTCATTGATACTTCATCAGCCCTGCAACACATAAGAAGGTCATCTGCAAAGCAGATGTGAACAATCTGAAGTTTGCTGCATTATGAAAGTTGAAATCTGGTATCTTTGTCAGTGTTTTCAGAGATCTATTGAGATACTCCATGGCTATAACAAACAGGTAAGGTGACATGGGATCCCCTTGTCGCAATCATTTCCTTGCTTCATACTTCTCTGTTAGACCTCCATTCAGTAACAAGGAATAGCTTACTGTACTAACACATTTCATAATCAATTCCACTAGCTTATACGGAACTCCAAACTCCAGTAGTACTGCTCTCAAGAATCCCCACTCCACAGAGTCGTAGGCTTTTCTAATGTCCACCTTTATCATACACCTAGGTGAAACATTCTTCTGAGAGTATCCTTTTATTAATTCATGTGCCATTATCACATTATCTAAAATATTTCTCCCTTCAATAAAAGCAGACTGAGCAGGCCCAACCAGATAATCCACCACCAAATTTCAGCTTATTTGTTAACAGTTTAGCTATAATCTTGTATATTGTCTAGCAACAAGCAATAGGCCTAAACTCCTTAACAAAACTGGGATTTTTAACCTTTGGAATTAATGTAACAATTGTGCAATTTACCTCCTTCATTAGCTTTCCATTCTGAAAGAAATGCTGAACATCCTCTGTAACTTCTTGCCCTATGATTGACTAGTATTCTTTGAAAAATTCTGCAGGATATCCATCAATACCTGGAGCCTTGTCATTAGGCAAATTCAACACTATTTTACTTATTTCCTCACTAGTAATTGGAACTAACAATTGTTGTTGTTGAAATACAGTCAAGCATGGCCCATCTCTTGCTATATTTAGATCAATCCCTGGCATTTGATCTTCTGCTTTCCCTAACAACTGCTTGAAAAACTGAATAAACTCATGCTGAATTAGTTTTGGCTTTGTAATCTTCATATGAGTATCATTATATATGCATCTAACTTTGTTTCTTGCTTGTCTAGCTCGCATACGAGCATGAAAGTACTTTGTATTTTGATCACCTAATTGAATCCATGTGGCTCTTGATTTCTGCCTCAGTATTTGTTCTTGGACTGCTTCCCATTTCTCAATATCTGCTTGGCATTTTCTTTCATCATCTATGAGTCCTGCATTAAAGTAATCTTCATTCAACTTTCCTTGGATCTGATCCAAATCTTCTCTTATCTTGCTTAGTTTTTTATCCACTGATGAATGCTCATTTTGTATACTTCTAGCCTCTTTCTCAATCTGCTTCAATTTTCTCCATACAGAATACATAGCATCTCCTCCACTTCTTTGTCTCCATGTTCTTTGCACAATCTTCTTATATTCTGCTTGCTGCATTACTGTTGTTAACAATCTATAAGGTCTGTTAACTTTCATTTTCTTCACCTCAGTATTGATCATTATTGGTGTATGATCTGAGCATCCAGGTAGCATGTAGTTAGCCTCAATACCAGTGTATAAGTTGAACCATTCAGCATTCCCAAAGGCCCAATCTATATGACTGTATATCCTGATTTTTGCATCTCTTCTGTTACACCATGAGAAGTTACCCCCTCTTATGGTAATTTGCCCCACTCATATCTCTTCAATACAGTTTTGGAAATCTACTACTTCAGCTTGCTGTACAGGATTACCATTCATTCTGTCATCAACATTGAGTACACTATTGAAATCTCCTATTATAAGCCAAAGATCATTCAATTGTATACTTCTTAGGTTTCCCCATAGTGGCTTCCGGTGTTGAATAGTATGCTGTCCATATACATATGTTATGTAACAAGTGAATTCAGAATTCTTATCTTTTACACAACAATGAATCAGCTGTTATGTCTTCTCCAATACTGTGACATTGATATTGACTTCCTTCCACATTAACCATATTCTACCATTTAGTGCATATTCATAATTGTCTTCAATTTTCCATTCTTTCCCTATTTTTCTTTGAATAGCCTTTACATTCTGCTTTCTGACTCTTGTTTCAAGGCAAGCTATCATATCCACCTTATTTTTCAGCAAGAATTTTCTCACTTCTCGCTGCTTGTAGGACTTATTCAGTCCTCTCACATTCCAAGACATAATAATCATGGGGGCTGATTATTAGGAGTGTTGTTTAGGCTCCTCTGTCCTGCTTCGTCATTTCTCATTTCTTCCTACATAGTCCTTCCAGGTGGATTCTCCTTTATCATCAATGGTGCAAACCTGTTCCTGCTTGCTAACTCCTCATAAATGATCTCTTTGTGCTTTGAATTTTATATGTTCATCTTCTGCTTGCCTTTATCTTGTTCCTGTTTATCTTCATGTTCAGTTGCATCTATTTGTTGCTGGTTGGATTCCTTTGCTTCCTTTGGCTTCCATTCCATTTTGTTCCTCTTCTTTCTTCTTCTTTTCTGCTTAACTTCTTCTTTATGTTCCTCAGCCTGTTGACATTTCCCTTTGTCATGCCCAAAGTTGTTACACTCCAGGCAGAATTTTGGCTTCCACTCGAATTCCACCCTTTGTATCCAGCTTCTTTGATCAGGGATCTCAATGTGGACTTCATCTGGTAAAGGCTGTGTGATATCCATTTCAACTAGTACCCGAGCAAATGAGATCCTCTCACATTCAGCAATTAGCCTATCAGTACAAATAGGCTTACCTGGAAGGCTAGCAATTCTTCCTAGGTTTTCCTCAGTCCAACATTGAATAGGCAAACCTGGAAAATTGACCCACAGTGGAACAATTCTCATGGACTTGTTTTTAATCTGAAAACTTGGATCCCATTCCTTTAGTATCATTGGCCTATTGTTAACAGTATACGGTCCGTGTGGCATTACTATCTCTTTGTCCTCCATAGATTCAAATTTGAAAATGAAATAACCATCATCATGCATCAAAACTGTTGGAGTCGTAATAAAACTCCATACACCATATACAAACTTTAACATATCTTTAAATGATGGATTTCCACCCAGTACATACCCTATCAAAGCTGTTTTTCATTTTTGGACTTGCAATTCTATCTCCTTCATGTTCAATTTTGCCGTTTTCACTCCATCCTTCACCATCGGTGGATAGAATTTTAACTGCATGCCCTGTGTTTGTGTTCTGTTCCTTTTTACTGCTTCCGCCATAGTCTGCTTTTGAGATCCAATTGGGTATGTCAATTTCCTTGCTACTGTGAACATCGTTGCTTCCTCTGGTTGCATGGCCATCTTCTCTACTTCCGGTGGAGCTTGCATTACCGTCGGAGCACTCCCCATGCTAGGAAGCCAATGTAACAGTTGCATCGGTGCTAGTTTTTGTGGTATTCCACTTTTCGGTGTAATTAATCTCGTCATCTTAGTGAATTCAGTAGGAATTCAGTAGGAATTGTAGCAAAGGAGTAGAAATTGTTCGTTAATGGCGTCTGTAAGCTACCTTGCTTCACAATCGCTAGACGTTCTCTCTCTACATTCTCTTCAATTTTGAAGAAGAAAAGATTGAATCTTCCGGCAAATGATATATTGTTTCCCTCTATAGAAGCTTTAGTTTTGACAATTAGTTAAAATGCAGTACAAGACTCAATTTATTTCACATTTAAGCATTTAAATAGGGAGTCCNACTGATCATCGGAGTTTGCAGCATTTACTCAAGCAAAAGGATCTCAATATGCGTCAGAAGAGGTGGTTAGAGTTGCTAAAGGATTATGACATTACTATTCTGTATCAACCCTCGCAAGGCCAATGTAGTGGCGGATGCCTTGAGTCGCCGAGCAAAGAGTTTGGGGAGTTTGGCATATTTACCAGCTTCAGAGAGGGCCTATGGCGACGGATGTTCCATAGATTTTATCTACATTTTGGCGAATTTCCTAAATCCAAATCCCACCCAAAATATCACTATTACATTTTTTAAAAATTGTCCCAAACTTCTACTATATTTGATAAAAGAGCCCACAATTTATTATGTTGTAACAATGGTGCTTTGTCTTCTCGGTTATATTTAGTGCATTATATAGTTCATTATAAAAATGATAATTTTTGTACTAAATTTATTTATGTTCAAGACTATGATTTGCGATAATATAATAAATGTTATTGATAAAGGTTATGCTGGGTATTTGTGATAGTTTTTAGAACTTGTGAGTAGAAGTCACGTTTCATGTTTTTCTAAAAAAAAAAGTGAAATATATTTTGAAAACTTATGTCCAAACATATTTTAATCTTCAAACCAAACTTCACCCAAATCATATTTTTCAAAATAAATTTGAAAATCTATGGCCCAGCGCTATCTTAGAACCATTGTGGCTTCACCCCTGCAACAATAATATTGAATAAGTGAAATTACATTATTGTAATAATGTTGATTAAATCAAAAATTAGTTATCAAATGAATATCATAATGTATATTTCCAACTTGGATGTTAAATTAATTCACTATTTTTGGTGTGTAATCTAAAAAATTTAAAAAATAAAATGGGAATTAAGACATTGAAAAATTAGGTCAGTGCCGGCAGGTAATTGGGAGCAAGCAGTAGTCACGGCATCTGAAAGAGCAACACGACCCACGCTTTGTTTAAAGTCATTGCCCCAAAAATATTAAACAAAAAACAAAAAAGTAAAAAACATTTAATTAATTAGATTATTTTTTAATATAAATACTGAGGATAGTGAGAGGGAAAGTAAGCAAAGCGTGCTTTGCGGAATTTGTGAGTGAGTAGAGAGAGAAAGTAAATACCCACCAAATTAAAACCAGAAACGCTATCCTCAGTANGCGGAATTTGTGAGTGAGTAGAGAGAGAAAGTAAATACCCACCAAATTAATCCAAAAACGCTTCTTTTTAGAGAGAGAAAGTGGATTTTGTAGAGAGACAAAGATCATAGAAATACACGGTAACACCACAAATTCAAATACACAGAGAAGAAAGCGAGAACGAAGAACAAAGAAGAAGGAAGAAGAAGAAGAAGACTTGTTCAGAGTTGAGTTATCGTGGTCTAAACGGGATTTTTGGAGTTGTTTTTGGGTCCGTTGTGGTTCAGATTTATCAGAGATTTATATCAAAACGGGGTTTTATAAACTGAACCCCGTCTTCAACTCTATCACTGTGATTTTGTAATAGTTTTTCTCAGTTTGAGGAAATTAATTGAAGAAAAGGAGAAATATGGAGTGCCCTGCTTATTTAGATGAATATGAAAAGCTTGTTTTCCGTATGACTACTCCAAGGTCAGTTAAATTTTGTGTTACTCTCCCTGTTTTTCCTTTTTTGTGTTTTTGAAATGATTTTTCTTAATATTCAACTTAACAGTAGGATTTTTCATCTAATTATGATTTGAGAAGAATAATCAGTGTTTATAAGTGAAGATTATGTCTACTTCATACCTTAATCCATTTTTAATTTGATTTTTCTTCCTCTACACGTTACTCTGACTCTTCCTCTTTCCAGAAGTTTTCACTTCGCCGATTGACTTTTCCTTATGACAACTGAGTCATTTTTGTCAATTTTCAACTTTTCAAAAATTTCAAAAAATTATCCTAATAAGTGGCCATTTCTGAGTAGTCTCTATCACTGGTGTTTTACAGGGTTATGATCGACAATGCCGGTTGTTCAAATTCCACTCGCGTTATGGTATGTCACCTTCTTCCAATTTGCTGGAATATTTTCAATTTTTTTTTTACTTAGTTTTTATTAGTATAAAATCATTTTTGCTTATTTTAATTAGTCCATTTTTTTTGGGGGTTTTAACAGATTGATAGTGCGAGAAAACATGGAATACTTCTGGAAGCAGTACAAGTTCTTACGGATCTGAACCTTTCAATAAAAAAAAGCTTACATCTCGTCCGACGGTCGGTGGTTTATGGACGGTGAGCGCAATTTATGGAAACCCACCCCTTTTTGCTAAAGTTCGCCTTTTGCTAAAGTGCGCACCTCATCACTGCGCACGTTACGCAGATCATTTATTCTTTAGTAGGAATAAATATCAAGGCGTACGTTAGCTACTTGCTTAATTTTCCTCTCGTGTTAACTTTTTTACCTTTGAATATTTGTGAGTACTAATTTGTGCCGTTTCAACTCGTTCTTAATGTACAGTGTTTCACGTTACTGATTTGGATGGAAACAAATTAACGGACGAGAGTGTCATCAGTTACATTGAACAGGTATTTAATTTACTTAAATGTCTAAAATAATTGCATTTTCTTTGTGGGTAATTTAGATTTACATTTTTGTACTAATTTTGAACCTTTTTTGTGTTCACGAGCAGTCATTAGGGACTATTCATTTTGCAAGTGCAAAGTGCTTTGATGGTTTGACAGCACTGGAATTAACTGGGACGGGTCGAATCGGCCTATTATTGGAGGTGTTTGCAGTACTCTCAGAATTACAGTGCAATATAGTTGAAGCCAATGTGTGGACTCACAATGGTCGAATTGCGTCCCTAATTTATGTAAAGGAAGGCGATTCGGGGTCCCCGATTGAGGACTCTCAGAAGATAGACACGATTGAACCTCGTTTAAGGAATGTGCTCAAGGGAGATAATGACATTCGTAGTGCTAAAACATCAGTGTCTATGGCTGTCAGACATACAGAAAGGAGGCTTCACCAGATGATGTTTGCAGATCGCGACTATGAAAGGAAGCTGGTTATTAGGACTAACGACAACCCTATTGTATCGGTATTGAATTGCTTGGAAAAGGGTTATTCCGTGATAAATGTTCAGTGCAAGGATCGACCTAATCTTCTGTTTGATGTGGTTTGCACCTTAACAGACATGCAATATGTTGTGTTCCATGCCACAGTTAATACAGCAGGGGACAGAGCATACTTGGTATATATTCCTTCACCTACTTTTCATTGCTTTTTTCATAGAGTATTCTTTAATGATGTTTACAGGAATGTACAAATTTTCTTGACTTCTGTTACAATCTTGTCTCAGGAATTCTTCATTAGGCATACAGATGGAAGTCCAATTAGTTCAGAAGCAGAAAAACAGCATGTGATTCTATGTCTACGAGCTGCAATAGAGTGAAGAGCATCTGAGGTATATTGCTTATGCCCTAATTGCTCTCTTAAAGAACATTGGCTTACACTATATAGTATTTCATACGTATCTTCTAATGGGAAATACTTGATTTTGGATTACAGGGAGTGAGGCTAGAGTTATGCACCGGAGATAAGCAAGGTCTATTGGCTGAAGTAACGCGAACTTTTCGGGAAAATGGTCTAAATGTGACAAGGGCAGAGATATCCACAACAAGTTATAACACAGCTCTAAATGTATTCTATGTAACAGATGCAAATGGAAATCCAGCTGATCCAAAGATCATTGATTCTGTTAGGCAGAAAATTGGATTGAGTGACTTAAAAGTGAAGGAATTGCCATTGATCTATCATCAAAAGGCAGAGGAGAGGGAAGAGCCCACAGGTGGGGCAGGTGGGGCAATGTTGCTTTCACTTGGTAGCATTGTAAGGAAGAATCTATACAATTTAGGATTGATCAAGTCATATTCTTGAATGTCAGCACAAAATTATTACTACCAATTAGATTTGTCCCAATCTTTTGTGTTGGGCATCTGTACATAGCTTAAAGATTACTGAAAATGAAAGGGGATTTGGTAATAGTAGTTGTTATAGTTGAGCTTGGTTGGCTGAAAGGATAGACACATACAAGAAGTTGATGTTATTGGGGGGCCAAATTGGAATTTTAAACAGAGAAAAATGGGAAAGAGAAGAAAGGTTGTTAGTTGGTTGGCTTGTGGTTATAAAATTTGTTTGGTGGAAGATTAGAGGCAAAGGCAGGCTGGCAAGCAATGATACAAAAGAAGATGATAGGGTTATAGACATAGAAATTTGGTTTTAGAACAGCACACATTTGTACAT